GCCCGCCCCCCCGCCCCCGCTCCCCGCCCCGAGCCGAGGAACGGCCGCCAGAGCCGGGCTGGACGAGGAAGGGAAGGGAAGGGAAGGGCCAAGCCGGGCGTCCCAACAGGGCGATGAGCGACCCGGCCGACGCTGGCGACTACGTCTCCCGCCGGGAGATCCCGCGGCTCTTCGAGGTAGGTCCTGGGGGTGGGGGCTCCTCCGCCGGGACAAGCCCCATCCCGGGCGCCAGGGTCGCCTCTGAGCAAGCACAAAGCGCCCCGGGCGCAGCGTCCATCGGCTCAGAGCGCAAAGGCGCCGCTCTGGGGGTGCCCGAAGTTTGCGCAGGACGCCAAGGGGGTCGCAAGGGGGTTGTCCAGGGGCTGCTGCCTCGCTAGGAGAGCGGGGCGGGGGCCGTCCTAGAAGAGAGCGGAAAAGGATCCCCAGCAAAGGAGGAAGAGGGTTTCTGAGCGTAAGCAGAGCGTGCCCTGGGCTGGCATTTAGGGGCAAGCGGACTGTGCTTTCCGTTCCCTCCTTCGGAATGGGTAAGGCTGCATATTACTCCATGGGCGTCTGAAGCGTTGATGCAAATCCCTGATTCGTGAGCTGGCAGCGGGTAGCGCTGCTGGAAAGGCAGGGGGGGCTGGGCATCATTATTCCCACCCCCCGCTTGAGAGGCTGTGGAAAGTTGCCCTAATGGCTCCGGAGAAGTTTGGCTACGAACCCAGGCTGGGCGAGGGTGCTTTTCCGCAGCTGGAGAGCGTGATGCTGCGCGCGTTGGCTTGGGGGGCAGCGGGGGAGTCGCGGCGCTTCCTGCGGGTCGACCCCAAGCCTTGAGGCGAAAGGCTGGTGTCCCCCCCACCCCACTTGCATGAAGGCGTCCCGCGTCCTGTTTGGGGTGGAAGCCGCCATGGAGGGCATCCATACCAGGATGGATGAACTGCGTGCCCGGCGTGAGTCAAACCATCAGGAGGCATCTGAATAATTTGCACAAGTTTGCACCCAGACATGTTGGAATGTGCGAGATGTGGGTGCCTGTTCATCGTGCACTGCTTTGCCTGCCCCCTCCCTTTCCATCTGTTTCTGGAGAAGCCCCAGGAGTGGGGCACGAGGCGGTGAGTTTCGGTGCACGTAGAATGCATGGCTGGATCCTCATCCCCTAAATCCCAAAATTTGGGACAGAATTCCTCTTTGGCTCTGCAGTAAGAGTCCTGCTGAATCAGGAGGCTGGTCTTTCTGTCCCGTGGTTTGCTCCCCATCCTAACTATATGGAAAGGTAGACTGCCTCTTCATGGGGATGTTCCATTTTTAAGAGGGACGGCTGTTTGCACAGAGAAAAGAAAAGCTGCACTGTATCCGGCAAAAAGGGATGTTTTGCTCAGCGTCCTGATTTTGTTTCCTTATAGCTTTTACCATCCCACCTTTCAAGAAAGTCTCAGAAAAGTTTATAAACAACTCCAGTAAGGAGAAAAACAAAATGAGAAAAAGTTACATTGCAGAGAAATGCAGTGAAAAAGGCCCACAGCAGTTTATAATCCAGGCTTGAAAGCAGCGGCCTTTCCATTCTCATGTGTTAAAAGTACATTCCATCTACAGCTAACATTTACAGACATACTATTCCTACATATGCCTGCTCTCTATTCAGCTACCCCAGCTTATGGCTTTTAATCGGTCCATCTTCCTCTGGTGCATCAACTCAGATCCATCTCTGAAGCCATCAAAATCTGTCAGGAATAATAGAGGGGCTACGAATTCTCCATAGCCAGATGTCATGAGAACCGGCGTGCTGTTGTGGTTAAGGGTGTCAAAGCAAGACCAGGTTCAAGCCCACAGGAAGACTTTGGGACCTTTCACATCCCAGCCTACCTCACAGGATTGTGGTAGAGATAAAATGAGGGGAAACACTGCCTTGAACTCCGTGGGGGGGGGGGAGGAAGCTGGAATCAAATGCAATCCATAGCAGAGGCAACCAGCGAACGGCACGTAAGGACCCCCGTTGGATTTTCCCATGATGCATCAGATGATGCAAACACCGAGGCATTCTGGGACATTAGAAAGGGCCGCTAAATTCAGCTGCTGACTGCCTCGTACAGGTCAGTAAGGTCTCTCTCCCCTCCAACGACTCTGCGAAGAAATCTAAATAGTGAGGGTGTGTTTGTACATAGTAGCATCACAACACAGCAACGTCTCCATGGCTAATTCTGAGAGCTGTTTTTACAACGCCTCTCTCCCCAAAGCTTTAAAAAAAAAGGGCGGGGGGTTAGAGCAGTGCTTCTCAATCTCAGGGACTTTAAGGCCTGTGGATTTCAACTCCCAGAATTCCCCAGCCACACTGGGGAAACCCTAATTAACCCATCCTTTCTTTCAGACACTAAGATATTCCCCAAATGTGTTTTCCAAGCCTGTTGGTGTAAGAGGTCTCCTTGCCAAAAAACCCCAAAGTTTCTTCTGGCCCCACCACAAGGAAGTTTCCGTCCCCCGAGAAACGAAATCATCGGGAAATTTACTGGTGCCTGATTTGGTTGGCGAGTTAAACTGTTACTCTTGGAAAAAGTCCAGGAGTTCAGCCTCAGGCTGGCAGTGAACCCTCCTCCTGCTGAGTTCCAGGTCTGTTTCCCAAGTCAACTAACTTTCCTCTTGGAACAATATATATTTTCCAGAAAGAGAGAGAGAGAGAGAGGGAGGAGAAAATCAACAAATATGTGGATTTTGGGTACTAATTCGATATCCCATTTAATCAGCAAAGGCTCCCCAGATCCTGAAAGGGCAAATATTTATTAATAAGTTAATAAAGAACTTATTCTTCCCCAACCAGCTGTCTGTTTCTGCTTCTCCTCCTCCAGAGCATGTTGACGGGTCTGATGTATTACCGGCCTGAAGACCCCATCGGTTACCTCGAAGGCTGTTTGAAGAAAGTCCGGGAAATGGGTGGTCCGGAGGTGCTGCAATGGGACACTTTCATCAGCCAGGAAGAGCTGGGCATGCAACCTGTGGCCGACGGGCTGAACAGGAAGCCCATCTCCCGGGCAGGTGGATGTCCGTTCTACAGGCGGGGTGTTTCGGGATTTGCCGCCGGGTTCTGGCAGTGGCAGCAAAGTCTGTGTGTGAACTCCATTGCGGTCAGAACATGTCCACCAAGCCCTTCTGAGATCCATGAGGTCTCCAGCTCAGAGATGTACATGTAGAAAGAGGAGAACCACGTTTGGATCCTGGGGACAGATGTTCAATTTTATCAGCGAGTCTCGCTTGCACGGCCCTTAATATTCCATTATGCCTTTGTCTTGCCCTGGCTGTCTCGCACTGTCCCCTTCTCTGATGAGTTTCCACTCCCCAGCTAGGCTGTGACCACTTTTCTCTCTCTGGCAGGTCCCATCACAGCCCTGTTCAGCTCATACCAGGAAGTACCCTCCATCAAGACCCAGTTCTCCATCGAGAGTGACTCCGATATGACCGAATCCACTGGGTTAATCCAAGAATACAACGTATTTGATCCTGAACGTCCCCGTCCTAAGATCATTTTTGTGATAGGTGAGAGGTTACGTCAGAAGGAAGATTGGGGTGGGTGAGAGGAGCAGTTCCTTGGAGGTGGTGGAGGCCCAATTCCCTGTGATATGATCTGTGTTTCTCGCAGGACCATCAGAACTTCATTTGGGGGTGGAGGGACGAAACCAACGTCACTCCAGAGGAGGAAAATAGCATGTGGAGAAGAACAGTTTATCTCTCCTCTCTCTACACAGCCTTAGAAGGAATCTCCTCCTCGATCTACAGTTTTCTTTGGGGGGGAAAGTTCCCACTGATGCAAAGGAAAGAATTCCCATGGATCTTTTTTCCATGTTCTTTTTTGCAGTGAAGAATGAGATGTTAGCGTGAGAAGGAAGGATTCAACCTTGTCTTCCTATCTTCAGGGCTCCTTATCTAGACTGAACTTCCCCACGGTTGACCAATTCTTTTCCCAAAGTTGAGGCCACTTCACTACTGCTGTTGAATGTCAAACTGATCGGCACCTTTCTCCTGTGCAGGGGGTCCCGGGAGCGGGAAGGGGACTCAAAGCCAGAGAATGGCCTCTCACTTCGGTTTCGTCTGCATTTCCATCGGGGAAATCCTGCGTGGCCAGTTGATCCACCATGCCACCAGCGACAGGAAGTGGGAGTTGATTGCCAAGATCATTGCCAATGGAGAGTTAGCCCCACCGGTGAGCAAGCGTGCCTTAAAGCTGCTGTCAGCCCCCTTGACTCATATAGTTTGGGCTTGTTCTTGGGCGTTAATGGGAGTTTGGGAAAGAAATGAAGGCTAAATGTGAAGATAAAGAATATTCTGAAAATTGGGCAATCAAGAACTGATTGATCATGTACAGCCTGCAACGGAAAGTTTGTTTTACTGTAGTTCAGTGGTTTTCATCTGGCGTGCCGTGGGCTTGTTCTGGTGTGCCACGAGATTTTTTTTCTTGTTTCCTAAATCCTAAGTGTACAACTTAATAAAAATTGCATAACTTCCTCTCGAACCAAGTCTTACACGTTTAAAAATACATATATACGATTAAGAATTTTCTGGCGTGCCACAGAACTACCGCGGTATTCAATATGGTGCCACGGACCCAAAAAGGTTGAGAACCGCTCTTCTAGTTGAAAGACTCCAGTGTAGACGGTGGTTATTTGGAGTTACTTCTCCCCACTACGTGTATTGGAGGAGCAACGGGGAAGATGAGTTGATGGAGCCAAAAAAGAGACAGAAATCAAAGAGAAATAGGATTTGCATTCTTTTCTGGTTCAGATTCAATTCTGAGTTAGAAGACCTTTGGGATTACTCCAGCATTACCAGCGAGAGAGATTGGGTTATTTCCAAACCAGGAATTATACCAAATTGGACACCTTTTTTTCCTTTTTTTAAAGAGGTCCTCCATCCTTCTTCTCCTGGCCTTCTGCCTTAGTACACAAGCCGCAAACCAGGACGAATTAGGGGAGACCTCTCCTGCTGTGTTTGGGTCTGCAAAACACCCCACAGCACCCCACCTCCTGGGATCTCTCTGTGTTTTTCAGGAAACGACCATTGAGGAGTTGAAGCAACAGTTCATCAAGCAGCCAGATGCCAAAGGTTTCGTGGTGGATGGATTTCCCCGAGACATTGGCCAGGCCTTCATGTTTGAAGAGCAGGTGAGACGAAGCTTCCTGGGAGCTGTCAACGTTCAGCACCAAAAGGCGGTGGGTTGGGGGCCTTTTCTGAGGCCTCAGTTCATTTCTCCACCTGCCCTTCCAGAACATTTTCCCTGCATCTTTCAGCTGATGGTAGAGGGACCAACATGTGAGGTGGCCCTGGATTTTTCACAGAGGAGGAAGTGAACCACAGGGAGGAAGATGTAGAGGAAAAGAGAATTTTGGAATGGAAAGCAGGCAAGTCAGGATCAGACCTATCCAGGGTTCTCTTCCCATGATTCGTTCATCTATCCTTTGTCTTTGTCAGGTTGGTTCTCCAGATGTTGTGGTATTCTTGGCTTGCTCAAGCCAACGGCTCCGGCAACGGCTAGAAGAACGGGCCGAGGAACAAGGCCGCTTGGATGATAACCCCCATGCCATTGAGCGCAGGCTGGAGACCTTCAAGCAGAATGCTCAGTTGATTGTGAAGTACTACCAGGAGAAGGGAGCCGTGGTCCGGGTGAGGACAGTGAGGGTGGGAATCCAAGAAGATGTTTTGGGTTTGTTTTTCAATTCATCTCCCAATGACACATCTCCTGGGAACCTCATTTGCATGGAACAGTGTCATGCAGCTGGTTTCCTGTGGGACTTAAGTTAGAGAAGTCATGGTTGTTAAGTTACTGGAGAACTTTCCTTCACCCTGGCAAAAATGGCACTTAGCTTGGCTCTAGAGTCATACATGACGCTGAAGATGGCGGTCAATACCTTGCCACTGTTTTCCATTGTCACACGTCTCTTTGGATGTCAACCATATGAACTAAAAGCACTTTTGGTATCTCGAGGAACTTGTGGCTGCATTATAAAATCAGTTTGGGTCCGATTCAAGGTGACATCTGCTTTTAAGTCTGCTTTTTTCATATTACTGAAGAACTGTACTTTAAGATGTTGGGATTTCGTAACAGTAGTTCTTTCTGATTATGGCCGTGCAAGAGCCACATGCCTTTGCAGAATCAGTAAACAGATATGGATACAAATGTCCTCCATGCTGTCTTCTCCATCCCTTCTCTGAAGGGATGTTAGAAGGTGCCAAAGATACTTGCAAGTGAAATCCAAAAAGTATAAAGGTTTTTTTCACACACGGTTGGAGGTATAACCAAGCAGAGACTTGCTCAGCCCAACATGAAGAAAAGATTGATAATATATTTCTTCCCCTTTCCAGTTCGATGCAGACAGAGAAGAAGATGAAATATTTGCTGCCATCCGCTCCTGTGTTCAGCAACGGTTGCATCCAGGTGGAAAAAGAATTCCAGGTGAGGGATGCATCCACCTACACCAAGGAACAAAAGGGGTGAAAATAACAATGCCCCCCCCCCCAGGAAAAGCGAGAAGAAGCAGGCACGTTGTGGAAGGGAGGACTTTAGATTGCTCCAGAGGGCATCTTGGTCATCTTCAGAGAAATTTCCTGGGGTGACTCAAATCTACAGAAGCTGCTGGAATTAAAAGCAGGGGCCGTTGTTCTCTGTTGGGGCTGGAGATCATCTTCTAGAGAACCTAGAGAAGGATGAACCCCCTTTGCACCTCAAGAATTGGTTGATAGCTCATGTCCAACCAGATGAAATATATGCAATGTTTGTGCAGCCCTTTGAGATAGTCTAGACAGGACACCAAAACCATGAGTACTAACATTACTTTCCAGAGAACTAGGGAGGGTCCTTTCTGAGACGCTTTCTCCACCCCCATTCCTTCTGTGGGCTAAGATATCTCTTTTGTCCAATTGTTGCCCTGTCTGAGGCTCTTCCTCCTGTCTCCCAAGGTTATTCTCACATCCCATTACAGTTCACAACTCAGCAAGTGTCTTCCACTTCCAACTTCTGCCCAACTTCCTCTAGCTGCAAAATTCCTCCTTTCATGATGCCCATCTGGAATTCCTTGGGGGCAGAATAAGAGGGTTATTCACAAACATTTTGATCCAGTTTCTGGGGTTCTTTCATCTCCAGAAATCCCAAATAAGTGAACCTGTGCCTTTTGAGTATCCTTGGAACCCTGGTTGTGATTTTTCCACCAGCAATGTGTTGTTTTCTCGTGAATCTTCCAGGCATCTAATTCTCCTGTTTTCTGGCTTTGGGGTCTAGATTTGCCACTGCACAATGTCTTCAGCCCGAGCCAGGACTCTCCAAAGGAAGAGCAGAAAGAGGAGCAGGTGAGGTCACCACCATGATACAGTCCAGACCTGGATCTTGGCATGGCTTCCAAGTTGTGTTTTCCTGAGCCTGGGTTGAATCAGAAGCCTGCTTCCTTTTCATCAGACCAGAAGCCAGAACTGACTGGGTGGGAGTTCCTGGTGAGAAAGTATTGGAGACAGTGCCAGGGGTCAGTGACTGACATTGATGGAGCACAGGCAATTAACCTGCTGTTAAGCAAACAGGAATGGAAAGAAAATACTGGAGAGTGCCAAGAGGCAGAAGAAACGTGCTGCTGGTGGACAAGGTCAGAGCTACTAGTAGGTTCAGCCAGGGCCCAAAGTGGAGAGGACATCTCCTTGGTCTGCCTGCCTACTTTTTCTCCCTCCTTTTCTCTCTCCGTCTTTCTCTCTTTCGTCTTTTCCCCTTTGCTCTCCTCCTCTTTCCCTTTGTTCATCTCCAGCAAATCAGCCTCACCAGAGGTCAAAATGAAAGTCTTCCCTTGGGTTCTGGAACTAAGCTGAGGACCATCTACAACTCATCTCAGAGCCATGGGTTACCCATCCTTGCAAGATGCTCAGATGGGATCTTCTGAATCCGAACCCCACACAGTCCAAAAATTCTGGCCCATTGGGGCAAAAGCAGCCCTTTTCATCTGGGGTTCCATAAGAGATCATGAGTGAAGAAGCACATTACTTTTTTGATATATAATGTCCTCTACCTATGTGATTGTTCAGAGTCAAAAATGACTTGATGGCACGTAATCATCGATCAATGCCCTGTCTGCTGTAGATGCCCTAATTTTTATGCAGGGGGTCCCTGAGACCTGAAAATTAATTCAAGGGTTCCTTTAGGATCTAAAGATTGTGTGTTTGGCTAAGAGCAGAAATTTGCTACTTGAAACTAATTTTATTGGAGACACCAGGAACTGAAGGTGGCACCTTCTACAAGAGAAGTCAATTTTCCTTTTGGGGCCAGAGACCTCTCTCTCAATCTCCATCTGTCTTTTCTCCTGTTGAAATCCCCGAGTGTTTCGGTCTGTTTTCATTCTCTTCTAACATTTATCTCGCTGGGACACCAGTCTGGGCTGAATCTTGATGCCCATATATTCCTATTTATGTCCATGCCCACCTTTACTGTAGGCAGTTTTGAGGTTCTCAAGCGATGTGTCCCCTGGAAGACGATGCTTTCTGCCCCCTTCTTGCAGGTGTTTTGCCTTAGCGGACGCACCTCGTGCACTCCAGTTGAGCGATGGCATCTTCATACCCTTCCCAAAGGTGACTTTTGGCCTGCGTCTACAGTCCCAGTTTCTTCGACATTTTTGGCCCTTCCAAAGTCAATATATTTGTGCCAGTGGGCGGATGGGTGGAATTCCTCATCTCTCAGCTCTGCTTCTGAGCAATACCCAGCTTGGATCTTGCCAATCCAGGGCACCATTGACCCGGGTGTCATTTCTCGTGCTAATTGTAAGACACAGTCACCGTCCTGGCCCTACTGCTGCACCGATCTCATGATCCGCCGCTGCTAGGAACGGTGGCTCGTGACCACGAAAGGTCTGTCCGTTTGACGCTTTGCAAAAAAGATATGCTAAAAGTTCAGGCTTTTTTCTGAGCCCCAGCCTGGAATGGTTTTAGCCCTTCCGCGAGCTTCCTCTCTTTTCTAGCCCCCGCCCGCCTCCCCGCCTGGACGTATCTCTTCTCTCCCATCCTCCCCTATCATTGCTATTCAGGTCCCGTCTCTGGGCATCCGTGGCCGCCTCTGCTCCCCCCTTTTTCCCATCATGCCTCAAAGACTCTCTATATAGGGTGGTAAAAATAACCATGCAGGGTGGCCGGTGGCTGAGAAAACAGCCTCCTCTCTCTGGCTCCCTTTGTCTCCTTCCATCCCACCACTGAGAGGTAAGGCTGAGCTGTTTTCCAGGATTTTTATTTTCCTAAATGCAGGACGTCCCTCGGGGGGAAGACGGGGAGCCTAACAGCCTGGTTGCCCGGCAGGTTTCTCCTTTTTCTCATTCACCCCAAATCATCCGGAAGGAAAAGAACATTTCTCTAACGGTTAGAGAACCAGGCAAAGCTGCGGGTAGGAGCTGGCAACACTGCGTGTGGCCATCTTTTTAAGTTTTTTAGTGACACGCAGCGTTATCTGGCCAAATGTTGTGCTTCGACCCACCAGCCATTTGTGTGTGTGTCTGGGTGCGTGTTTTTCTGAATGGTCCTGCACCAACTTTGGGAAGGCGCTTAGCTGCAATAACCTTGCTGACCTCTCTCTCTCCGTTGCTCCAAATCTGCTGGAGGGGGGTCTTTTAAGTCACTTTTTCAAGGGGGGGTCGTGTCTCTGTCTTCCTCCTGCCCCAAGAAATGCAACATTGCCCGGCTGGAATTTTGCATGACTTTGCTTCGCTCCAAGGGGACCGAGAGAGGCTGATGTTTCCTGCCACATTTTTGAAATCCTAATAAAACATACCCTGTTGGCTAACCTCGAGTATACATCGGAAAGTCCCCAGCAAGATTTGCAGGTGATAGAAAGGAGAGTTGGTGTGCAAGGTACGGGGAACTACAGGACATGGAGGACTTCTGGATGCTGGTGTAACCAAGATGGAGAAGTCCTGAGAACATAGTTTCGTTTTCCTTCACCTTGTTTCTTTCTTTATTGGAAGTATATTCTCTTTTTCCAGGAGCAAAAGCCTCTCCTCTCATCCCCCACACTCCACGACCCCCCTGTAGGGTAGGCTGTCTTGAGAGAGAACGAATGGCCAATTGGGGAGTATTTGTGGCTAAGGGTAAACCTGAACCTGGGACGTGCATAAGGAGGCGAAGCTAAAATTCAGAGGATTCACAATAATTTGCTTGGGGGTTTTAACTGCACGGTGTGGGGGGAAATCTAAGGACCTCCCGTTCTTTTCAGCTAGAAAATTAGCAGGGAGGTTCTCTCAGAGGTCCCATGCTAGATTTCTATAGGGAGGAAGATGTTGTGTGTTGTTTTTAACAGCACACCCAGCCCACACACCTACTGTGCGCCTGTCATTAAGTGCCGCATCACCTCATTATGATGACGGGGTAGCTCATGATAATGGTAATATAGCCTGGATGTGAGAGATGCAGAAGTAGTTTAAGAGCCAGACCTCATTAACCATCATTATCCACTCTTCCTCTGTGACCTGGAGAACCTGTTCCCCACGATGTCTTTTCAACTCATGTTTTTCCAAATGTCTGGAGATGACCTGGTATTTATTTCTCTGTCTCCGTTTTATAACTTATTTCTTTTCAGCATCGAGGGAGCCACGGGCAGGCCCTGTGAAGCCTCTTGGGGGGCTGCCCCATTTGAAAAGCGGAGACCAGCTTGGCTGCTTCCTTATCCAGCCACTTCCTTGCCTGCAGAAAGCTAGCCTCTCAGGACAGCCTCCCCACCTCGCCCACTGATTTAAACCAGCCTTCCCCCCATCCCAGGATCTAGAGGGCAATTCTAGGCACATTTTCTCAGAAGCGAGTCCTGCTGTTTTTGAGGGTGCATGGTTTTGGGGAACGGGTTGCCTTTTAGATGTGAGGTTTTTCCATAAGCAGGGAATTCCAACTCCTGACACACCTCAATCCGAGAGGGTCTGTACCACAGGCTTCCCTCGCCCCCCTGCTTTAAACTTTGGGAAGAAGTTGGAAACTTGGCTCCACCGCCCCAACTCCGCCAGCAAAGGGGTGGATAGACTCTCCGGTGAGATTTACAGCCGCCGAGCAGCCCTTCGCAAAACCTCCTGGGGAGTTAACCTTATTAGGTGTAAAGAAAGAGAAATGTAACTGGACCTGGTTTTTTCTCTCTCTCTGGCCAAACCATGCCAGCAATCTATTCTTGGAGCCCCCCGTCTAAGCTTCTTCCTGAAATTACGTTCTCGGATTTTTTTTTTCGGGGTGGAGTGACCTTTGGGATAACCCAGTTAAGGATGAGCTCCTGTTCAGGCATCGGCCAAATGAAACACCACCCAAAGTTGCTTAAGAAGTGCAGCCGTGATTCGATTCAGGCTTTGGAGAAGCCCAGGAGGCAGGCTTCGGTGGCTGACGTTTTGCAGCTGAGAAACTGAGGCCCAAAGGGACGGTACCAGAACAGGTAGCGCGCCAGGACTTGAAGCTGAAATGCCAGAATTTGGGGACGGCTCAGACAAGAGCAGTGACTTGGTTTGAATGAAAGAAAGGCATCTATTCTGGTCTGTAGAGCAGCTGATTCCAAATCTGGCCTTTCTAAGAGTTGGGGGATAAATGGGGTAAGATATCGCTCCCTTGGTTGGTGTGTTTTTTCCTGGAAAGGTGGTGATATGGAACCTTTTCACAGAACTGAAGTGAAAGGAAATCACCCTAACCGTTGTAAATCTAATGGTTTGGGAAAGCTCTTGAGGTTGGCAACTGTACGCCCAGGTCTTCTTTCTGGACTGATGGACTGATTCTACGCTATTGAGTCAAAGTTGATTCTTACATAGGTTCTTCCAACCTGGTCCTTCCCCTCTTCCAGCAGTGTATTCATCCACCTTGCAATGGTCATCTTCCCTCTTACAACTTCCCCAAAGGGGGAAAAAATAAAAATCAAGGGTGGTCCCCATATTCTGTGACATTAAATAGTACAGAACAAGGCACGGGGTTGGCTTTTCGTTCTGGATCATTGTTCAAGCTGGAAGGAGAAAGATATAAGGAGTGGTCCAGCTATCCCCAGATGCTGGCCAGCTCACGACACCCACACTGTCTGGGAATGATAGTCCACCCTACCCACCCAAGGCTGACCTAGGCAGGTGAAGCCACCAGCAAAATGGCTGCTTGATCCTAGAAATCAAACCCAACAATATTTTTATGGCGGGCAAGCAGTGAAAGAGAGATCTGGAGAATTCATACGGTCCTCCCATCTTCTGCTTTATCACCCAACACTGCCCTGTCTGAGACACAACAGGTACCTGAGGGCTTATGGGGAATTTTGCCCCAATTTTGCCCCCGGGGAGGTCCTTCCCTGCCTCTGCCTAATTGGCGCTGAGGCTCGCCCACTGAGGGCTGCCTGTACATCCGCCGGAGGAAACCAAGCAGGAAGCAGTTGCCATGGGAACCTCTTCCCAGGTGATGCATCAGAGGTGTTTTTCCCTTCCTTCCCCCATCCACGCAGCTCTGAGTCAGAAGCTGCCATCCGTGTTGCAAACTGAGCCATCCTTGGACTCCGCTTCCTCCATTCGGCAGTTCCAAGGTGAATCTACCGGGGAGGGTTGATTCTGTAAGATCTCCTCTGCGTTCAAGGTTTATCCTTCTCCATCTCAGATCTCCCAGCTGGAAAAAAAAATCTAGCAGAGTTAAGAGTTGCTGGGTCCTCTCCAGGATTGGCTGTAGGGTTCCAGAATAGATTGAGGTATTGCTATTTTATTTTTTTTTACGTCCTCCAATATCTGGAAGCACGTTAAAAGTTTTTATTTGCCTCTGAACAGAGTTGGCAGTTAGGAACATCTGGAAACAAAATGTCAATGGGAAGGATTTGAAGAAAAGGCAATGTGGGGAGAAGGCCCAAGAACTAATTTTTGCTCACAGTCCTGGATTATTGTTCTTTCTTGTTTTGGAAGAGGAGATTGGAGCAGTCAAGGAGTTTGGGATGGTCGCCTTCAAGAGCTGTGATCTTTGGTCTAATCAAACCTTCTGTTTTCTTTCAGGGGGAGGATTTCTTCCCCTCAGAACCTCTTGGAATGGCAGCAGGTCAGTGAATTTTCTTTCTTTCGTTCTCAGTTTTGGTGGGTCTTGATTTGCCCTTCCGTTCATTCAAGGCAACTTCAGTGCTTGTCACCTGAGACATCCCTGTGGATCCTCACCTGCCAACACACCTTTTCTTTAGGATCTTCTAACTCGGGCCCCCCCCCCCCCAATGCTCTATTCTTCAAGAGAACAACACCAAACCCCCCACAGCACGTTTGCTACTGTTGGTTGGACGGTTTCTGAGTTAAGGCATGACATCGTGGTCTTCCTCCGCTCTGAAATTTGCGGGTGGAAGCCCTTTGACCCAACATCCCAAGTACATTGGGTTGGCATATCGTCACTCCAGAGCACCGGTGTCCCACTGAATATGTGGGTGAATTTCAGCCTGTGGTGGAACTTCTGAAGTCAGTTCATGAAGTTGATTTGAGACGTTTGTAACAGACTGTCTTGTGCCAGGCTGTGCCCTTGGTCTGCAGAATTCAGTTTGGCCTGTTCTGCGTGGTGGCATTTCTCCATCACTTGGTACCCATCATATGATGGGGCTCCTATGTTGCCATTCGAAAGATCAGCTCTGCAGCTGACTTACAGCTCCTACAATCTACATTTGCCCCAGAACTCCTTTCATGGGGTGCTAAAAGCCAAAAAACCTAAGAAGATACAAAAAAACTCCTTCAGGCACTCTGACTTGACTCCCAAGACCACACAACTTCCTTACTGGTTGTTTCTCCAGCTCTGCAAGGGTGTAATTCTGGAAAGCTGTAATCCAAGAAGAATGCTCATTACAGGTTGTTCATGAAACCTTAAACCGGGGTGTTATTTTTAGCCCTCCTGCTTGGCAGTCCTTAGATTCCCAGCCAGGCCTGGAAAAATTTCCGTGCTCTTGAGGAGCATCATTCAAAGAAACCGTAGCAAAATGCACCCCTCTTATTTTGCGTTTCAACATTTGCAGCCCGCAGGAATCGGGAAACGAAGCTCACGGGTGCTAACTCCTGCAGCGCCTGAGAGGACATTTGTTGTAAAATAACCTTGCCAAGGAGTGTTGTATCGATTTATATGGCGGGGGGGGGGGGGGGGTGG